GGCCACGTACCTGACGACTGTCTGTAACGCTGTTAAGTGGCTTGAAAGTGAGTACCACTACAAATGTACCTCTACCAGTCTTGGTATGCTGGGGACGACAATTTCATTGACATATGGTTTAAGGTCCTGAGAAATCCGCCACGACTCCGTCTCGCTCAATCCTCCCAGAAAAATAGTACTCGTTATGAACTTGGCAGCATAAACTGCAGGCTCAGAATCACCTCTTTGCAAAACACCTGCCAGAGCTGAAGTCGTAAAAAAAGACACCCAGGAAACTTTAAAGCTTACCAATGGCACACCCGAAAAACTTTGCCAGCGACTTTGACGGAACAAAAACGAGAGGGATGTCCCGGAGGCAGCTGCTGCCGAGGCTACAAATCGCACCTAGCGATTCAAAGGCATTGTCTTTGCGCTGTCGAGATTCTTGCTGACTTAAAACCACCAGCTCCAGGAATTCAACGACATCACTGACTTCTTGTAGGCAGTTTGACAAACAGAAGTGTAGCTCATCGTGCATTGTCTTAGACGACGATACCAGGACAACAATCTGTAAAAATCCACCAATATAAGCTCGACGAAGAAAAAAACAACAAGAACTTACGCTGCACAAACATTGGATGCAAGAAGGAACGAGGTGCTGCTTAAACATGCCCGTGACAAGTCCCAGCACACGGGGAAGTACATCCTCCATCATGACGCCCATTCGAGTAGCCAAAGCTCCCCACAAGTCGCACAAACTTCTAGCAACATCAATGCTTGTCGCCCAGTTTGTCGCTAGAACATCAAGACTACTCCAAATTTCTCGCAAAACTGGCACCGCAGGATGTGCGTCTGATTTTCTCCCAAAGTCCACAACAGCTTTTATCGTTCTCAAGGCACTTTCCAAAGGTTTGCCATACGCATCAGTAACCTGTAAATAAGCACACGTCATTTCAAGTCAAAACCATCTCCATGCTAGCAAAACTTACTTGCATCACTGAGCATTGTTTGATTGTAGCCACCGCCGAGGCTGTTAAGCCCTGGATAGTTGCTTCCGATTCATGGACTGGCAATGCAGCGGCAACGGCTGCAAGTCCTTCGATCAGCATAACGCTCTCCTTGCTTTGCAGCCCTCCTAATGAAGTAGTGATTGCTGTTTCGCAAGCTCCCATCAGTGGAGACAGAGCACGCACAGCGGCTAACTGCGATGCTGATGCTCGGCAAAGTTCACGTAAGGATTCAGCACCGGATGCCTTCGCTGTACACAAGTACAAACCAAAATAATAAGGAGAAAAGTTTAACGAGATAAGGAATTTACCATCAGGAACAGCAAGAGCTGTAATGCTGTAGTTCACAGCTTTCTCAAGTGCTACAGGATCGGCAGCAATCCATTCTGAGAAGCTTTTGAGTAGCCTTGCAGCCGTATTGACAAGCTTCCCAGACGGCCATCTCGCACTGACTGTTAAGACAATGGTCAACAGAAAATTGGTAGCTAAAGCCACGAATGCATACCTGATTCCAGAAGATTGTGTCCTCCAAAAGCCCCGGAAAACAAGCTCCTCAAAAGTTCTACGGCAGCCTTTTGAGTGTCAACAGCGGAAGTAATCTGTTCTCGTAGACAAGAAACTGCATACAGATAGAATTCCGCGTGTTGCCAACAAGAGGCTTGCAGTAAATTGTCAGAAATATACACTATAAGGTCGCACCTTAGCACCTTGAAACAGGAAGCAATAGCCTCCTCAGCTATGCCATAGCGAAATCTATATCGAAGTACAAAAGTTAGTATCTGCAACAAAAACTGACAGCTTTTACCCGCAAAAATCATCGTCGTCTATGTCAAAATCGTCGGAGGGATGCTTTGCAACCTTTGCAAGTGCCTGTAAAAGCACAAAGACTTACTTGTCATGCTCATGGTTAAGATAATTGATAACCAGACCTCAAAGATAGCCAGGAATATCTTCTCTCGAGGAACATTTACCGAGGAGATGGTGGCGAAACGGGGCCACGCCACTGCCACCATTGCCGCTCCATCAATACCAAGACCACCGCCGCCGCCGGTTGCATCGATCATCCAGTCGATCAAGAGTAAATCTTCCGGACCTCCTTTACAAATCAATGCGGGCTCGGAAGCCCCCAGAGCAGCAAGAACGCAGCACAAAGCATGCGAGCGTCGTTGGGAGGAGCTGTTGAAGTACCTTTTGTAGCTGAGAAGAGCTGCAAATCTGAGTTAAACCAAAACCAATAAACAGGTAATCCTCACCGGAAATAACTGCTCGCACTGCAGCATCCCTGCCTGGAAGGCAATCGACAGCTGAAATAAGCTCGGACAGCGCTGCAGACGACGCAATCACACAGGACTCGTTATCGGATCCCAGGGAAGCCAGCAGCACATTGAAGATTTTCGGATAATCCGAGTACGTTTCAGACAAAGTGCCACCACCTTGCAACCTGGAACATCTTAAAAATCAGCTCAGAATGGAGCTTGTTACATACCATCTCTCGAAGCACGTTAGCGTTTTCTCCAGAAGTGGGACGCTAGTTACATTTTGAAGAAAGCCCAGAACTCGCGGGTAGGATAACTGGATGCATTGCATAACCTGACAGAGAACCTGCATTAGCTCAAGAGATACAAAGAAAAAGAGAAGAGGAGAACTTACTTCCCACGCAAGAGCTCGAGACCTGTGTAGCGTTTCTTCCGCGAGCGCGATCAACAGTTCTAGCGCCAGAGACACCGCTACCTCGTTTGTCATGTCTGTTTTCTCGATTACATCTGCCACCAGCTAGAAGATCAATCGAAAGATTAAAACTGGAAGAAAGAACGAAGAAGAAAGAAAGAACGAACCTGGGAGCACGCCTCTCCTCCAGCAACAGCAGCAGCAGCGCTCAAAACGACGCACACCCGGCTCGCCACGATTCTATCTCCTACATTTTTAGGCAATTGCCAGAGAAGAAGATCGAAAATCTCGTGCGCGTCAATCTCATCCAGCTGGACCCAGTCCGATCGCAGCTTGGACAGCAGCAGATTGAGCACGAAGAACTTCACCTCCGCTGATCGTCCCAGCGCGGAGCCATCGGGAGGGAAGGCGAGATACAAGGCCACAGTCCACATTTGCGGCCTGGAAACGAAGGCGCTCACCCATTGATTTGCCTCCTGCTGCTGCTGCGCGTCCCTGGCATCGAGAGCCGCGGCAATGGCGGCCTCGAGCATTCCTGCATTCTTGGCGAGCTCCTCCTCCTCCATTCTAGCCCTAAAACAGAGGCCTAGACCTAAATTAAAATAAGAAGATTCCCTGAAATTAGGGTTCTTCGTTACTTCCATGGTAAGTGATGGAATGCGTGCGATGTGGCTCTCTGATCGATCACTGCGCAGGCGGATCCGGCTTCCGTGGCGCAAATCATCGATGGGAAGGCAATCGCGAAGGCGATTCATCAAGAGATCGCGGAAGAAGTCGCTCAGCTCAAGGAACAGCACGGCAAGGTAGAACACAGGGCATTTTCTTTCGTTTTGTAATGTGTTTGTTTCCTTGGTTTGCTCAAGGTCCCTGGATTGGCTGTTGTTATAGTGGGCGAGCGAAAGGATTCGCAGACTTATGTGAGAATGAAGAGGAAGGCCTGTGCTGAGGTTGGAATTAATTCCATCAATGTGGATCTTCCGGAGAACATCTCTCAGGAAGAGCTCCTGGATCAAGTTCTAGAGCTAAACGAGAATCCTGACGTCCATGGTATGTGTTTTCTTTCATAGTTTTCGTGTTGCTCACAAGTTTTAATCGGCAGGGATTCTCGTCCAGCTTCCACTTCCCAAGCACATCAACGAGGAAGCCATCCTCAACGCCGTAGGCCTCGACAAGGACGTCGATGGCTTCCATCCTTTAAACATTGGAAAGCTTTGCATGAAAGGAAGAGAGCCATCGTCCATTCCATGCACTCCCAAGGTATGATCATAGAATAATAATGGTGAGTTTCTCATCTCTTGGGACTCGCAGGGGTGCATCGAGCTTCTCAAGAGGAGCAAAATCCCGATTGAGAAGAAGAAAGCTGTTGTTGTTGGTCGTAGCAACATCGTTGGAATGCCTGCTGCGTTGCTCTTGATGAAGAACGACGCTACCGTCACTGTGGTTCACTCGAGAACACCCGAACCGCAAGATATTGTAAAGGAGGCTGACATCGTTATTGCAGCTGCTGGCCAGCCACAAATGGTACTTCGTTTGCTCGCAATCTTTGTTCTTTTCTCTAACTTGGTAGATTTTTTCTTTTTCTTTTCTTTTTTCCAGATTAAAAGAGACTGGATAAAACCCGGTGCTGCGGTTATCGATGTTGGGACAAATGCCGTGAGTGATCCATCGAAGAAACTCGGCTATAGAATTGTCGGTGATGTGGATTTTGAGGAAGTGAAAACTGTTGCTGGCTGGATTAGTCCGGTTCCAGGAGGTGTTGGTCCCATGACCATAGCAATGCTGCTACGTAACACCGTCGACTGTGCGAAGGCAGCCTTTGCAAGTGGTGCCTGATCACAGAAGAAGGAACTGGATCTTTCCAGCAATAATCTCATGAAAGTTCTTGTATCGGCTAGTCGGTCCGGTGAGTTGAAAGGAGGTAAACATTTCATGTCTGCCTGATTTCGTGGTGAATCTTCTCGAAGCTCTTGCAGTGGAGCTGAAGAGCGTTCTTCGCAAAAAGTCTTCCGAGAAGTTGACAATTTTTCACTCCTTGGCTGACATTTGAATTTCTACAGTGTTTTCTTGGCATTGCGAAGCAAGTGGCTATGGCGTGCGGATCCGAGACTACTGTTGCTAAGTTGCGTGATGGAAGATCTCTTGCTTACGACGAGTATGGCAGATTGAAAGAAAAGTGATCGTCATCCATGGCCTTCGGAGTTCTCGGCACCATCGTCTCGCGTGCTCAGAGGTTCTTTTCCTAAGTTTTCTATCAACCTCTCAGGGCCTTGTGTTTTTCTGTTTGTCCAGAAAGAGCTCGGAGTTTACTTGGTCGAATTCCAAATCCACAGCGCTCGATCAGGCTTCTACTTGGACTATCCTTGTCTTTCAGATGATGATTGAAACGCAGGGTATGGTTTCTTCATCCTTGCAAACAATTGGATGGGGATATTTCAAGAGAAATTCAAGCGGTTGATTGGTGATCCCTGTGATAAGCACCACTGCAGAGAGGGAACGAGGTGGCAATTAAATGTCCTCATTCCCCACAACTGCAGCAAATCCAAAAAGCTAGATTTGAAGCTGAAATGGTCCACAGCATCACACTTATTGACTTTCACCATCACACAGGCCTTATGTTTTATCAATATAAATTGCAGTATCTCAAGCAACGACTTTGACTTCCAGGAAGGAGTAGTCTGTGTAGCCGACGACCGGGTCTGGAGTGTAGAACGTCTGCCTGTCGTACACGTTGAGCGCCGAATTCAGCTCAAATCGCTTGGGCAGATCGGGATTTGCCAGAAAATGCCTCCCGTACACCACCAGGTCAGTTTTCCCAGCCGTGATTGCCTCGTTGCCGTCGTCTCTGCCGTAGCCCCCAGCCACCAACATAGTGCCTTTGAAAGCCTTCCTCAAGGGCCATATGCCTGCGGCTTCTGGAGCGATTGCTGCTCCGACTCTCATCCTGGGTTCTACAAAGTGTGCGTACAGGATGTTGAATCTGTTGAGCTCCTCTGCCATGTAGAGGCCGAGCTGCAGGGGGTTTGAGTCCACGGCTCCCACATAGTCGGAGAACGGGGACAGTCTGATTCCCACTCGGTCGGCTCCAACTTCTTTGGAGACTGCTTCCACTAGCTCAAGTGCGAATCGGCATCGGTTCTCCACGGAGCCACCGTATTCATCCGTCCGATCATTGGCGCTGTCCTTGAAAAACTGGTCGATGAGGTAACCATGAGCTCCGTGGAGTTCTACACCATCGAAACCTGCATAAAGATTGATAGATTACAAACGCTACCATCACCGATCTAAGAAATAAGAGTCACCAACCAGCTCTCATTGCGTTCCGAGCAGCAAGTCGAAAATCTTCCACAACGCCAGCGATTTCATGCGTTTCAAGGGCTCTTGGAGGCGAATAGTCCGCCATGGGAGTGCCTTGTGGAAGCATCAACTGGCCCGGTGCTTTCCTGTTGGTACATGATACGGGTGCCTGTCCATTCGGCTGATAAGCTGCAAAAACGCTATATAAGCTCGAGCTTCATGAATCAGGAATCAGATTCATACTCACATGTATGAGAAACTCTTCCCACATGCCAAATCTGTAGAAAGAAAACAGCTCCTTTGTCATGAACAGCCTGGACAATCGGTTTCCATGCTTCGACTTGCTCCTCGGACCAGATTCCAGGGCTATGCGGATATCTGAAATCCAAGCTTGCAATTCAGTAAAACAAGAGAATGGAGGAAGAACAGCTTTCACCCCAATCCGGATGGAGAAACTGCAGTGGCTTCGGCGATCAAGAGCCCCCCTTGCGTGGCTCGCTGTGAGTAATAAATGGCGGCATGAGGCTGCGGGACATGGCCATACGATCTGCACCTGGTCAGGGGCGCGAGCACCACTCTGCAGTGGCGAGATTGGATCACACCTTGAAACTTAGTCTAAACCAAATCTTCAAACTGTACCTGTGTTTCAGCTGAAATCCGCCAAGCTTGAACGGCGTGAGGAGCGGAATGTCCTTGCCCTGGATCACCTTGCACTGATGGTGCTCGTGCTGATCGTTAGATGGCGTCTGACCGCAACCCATGGCAGCCGAGTGATGCTAATGGCCTGCCATTACTAATTATATAACCCCGAGCTGGAGAACTCCAAATTGGATTTCGTATTCCTGTGTAATGACATGACTCCTCCTCTCATCCAACGACAAGGATGGATCCACGACGCTTCCAGCGCAGCTTCTTATCAGTGTCCTTGGAATCTTATGTCGAGATCTGGATTGGACTTATGCAAAGAATGTACATAAAATTTATGCCTGGAAACTAGGGTTCTTTGTTAAGTCTGTATGTGCCGCTTTCTGTGTAGGTGGATGGCCATCGCAAAAGTGATTCATCTTCTTTGTTGTTGCTCAAGGTCCCTGGTGTGGCTGTGGTCGTGGGCGAGTGAAAAGGTTCAGACTCACGTGAGAATGAAGATGCATCAATGTGGATCTTCTGGAGGACACTTCTCAGGAGAGCTCAAACAAGAACATGGGCGTCTATGGTATTTGTTTTCTTTTCTCTCTTTCATGTTTCTTCCAAGTTTTAATTCGCAGGCCACTTCCCAAGCACATTAAAGAGGAATACACTTGCATAGTTTCCATCCTTTAACATTGGAAAGCTTTGCATGAATGGAAGAGAGCCATCGTCTATTCCATGCACTCCCAAGGTATGATCCGAGAAGGATAACACCTCTCCATGAGATCTTCCCAGGTTTCTAATCTAGTTCCTAAATCTAAAGCTACACTCCAAAAAGATTGCTCTTACCTGGATGTGCCAATCCAAGTAGAATCTGTAAAAGACAAGTTGAAAGATGTTAGTCCAATGCCTTTGATCCTTTGAAGGCAGTGTATAAGCTAGGCATTGCAATGAAGAGCCAAAAAGATAAGCAGAATAGAGAATGTATTTTGTATAAGGGATGAGTTTCAAAACATTCGAAGTCTTACTTTTATAGTCACTACTGGTCATGTCAAGGTTAGGAACACATTCCTAACTTTGATCCTCTCAAGTTTGCATTCCTAAACTTAAGTCTCCAAAGTGCATTTTTCTTGGTTCTCCAAGGAGTAAAATCCCAATTGAGAAAAAGAAAGCTATTGTTGTTGGTCTAGCAAAATTGTTGTGTTGCTCTTAATGAAGAATGGGCCTACTGTCATCTGGTTCACTCGAGAACAAGTGTAGGCTGACATCTTGATTCCAGCTGCTGGCCAGCCACAAATGTTCCTTCACACAGTGAATTTTCTGTTTTTTACCCAAAAAAGATTAGATAAAACTAGATTAAGACCCCCTACAACCACTTAAAAGGAATATATTTTTGGCAATTAAAGAATAGTATTTAGAATCACACCACTTATCAGCATGAGAACTATGTATGGTATTAGAGAAACTTGTAAGTGTAAAATCTACACCAATTATGAATGAGGAATAGGAAAGGTAATTAATATTTATCTATAAGATAGCTCTTCAAATCTTAGTGTAGTCAAATTGTAGTTGGTATTTGAAGGGTTTGGAGCAGCTCTAAAACATAATTTTTCATATTTTATTAACTATATCAATAATGATATTTTAAAATGATGAATTGTTCCTACATCTCCAAAGCTTTACACTTCTTTTTGTTACCTTTACTAATGTTTTAGAGTGTCAAAGTTTAATGGGTACACTAATGTACATAGTAATGTTACTCATCTTGATATCATATATATTACTAATTTTTTCAGACAATATTTTTCAACTTCATAAGTTATCCATTGGGAAGAAAAATGAGTTCTTCGAAATCTTAAAGGAATTATTAATCATGGGATCACTTATATGCATTTTAAAAATCATTCTATGATACTAACAGTTTACACTAATTCAAATTGGGCTGGTGTAATTTATGACTCTCATCAATCTAGAAGTGGCTTATGTTTTCACATAAATTCTAGTGTTGTCTTTTAGTTTTTTTAAGTGTCAACATTGGATAACATTATCTTTTCCAAAAGCAAAATATGTTATAGCTAGTTTAGCCACTCGAGAAATTATATAGTTTCATAAACTACTTACTAAATTGGGATATCCTCTGTCACTCCCATGTTTTCATACTATGATAATCAATTTATTATTGCTTTGGTCAACTTCACTCGAAGTCTAAGTATGTTAACATACACTATCAATATGTTTTATTTGATGTATAAAAGAGGAATATTGTTATGGGAAAATTAGTTACTACTTAGGATATAGTTGGTGATATTTTTACAAATATTTTTTCATTACTTTTGTTTTGAAACATTGTGTCAGTCTTAAGACTACAACTGTCATTGCTACCTAAAGGTAAAACGTTTTTTGGTTAATAGTTTAAGTGAGTTGTTTTTATTAATCTTGTGTTTTATTTGGAAGCTTATTGTGTTTATATTTCTATTAACAAAAGAGATAACATATAAATATAGTTTATAAAAATGTAAAGTAGTAGAAGACTAGTTGACGTGAAGTTAAAGGGGGATTTAGTCTATTTTGTCTTTATTTGGATATATTTAATTAAGGATTATGTATTAGGGATTTCATCAACTAAGGATTAAGTATTTTCATAGTGGCTCTCTTAAACATCATGTAGAGAGAGGATTGTGCCTCTATGAATTGATATTGTTAGGTTGTATTGCATTTGTTTTTGAGATTCAATGTTTCTTTAGTTTTTAGATTTCATAATGGTTAGAGTTTTTGAGTTCTTGCACAATATCTAATTTGAATATCTTGGATTTTGAGTGGGGCTAAATTATCTTTAATTTTGATAATCAAAGTTATCTAGGCACTTTTTGAGTATTGTTTGATATCAAAGATTATCGTTCAGTTGACAAAGATTGTTAGAATAGGTCAGAAAAGATAATAGATTGTCAAAACAAATTATTAAAAAAGAGTGTGACAATTTTTGTCAATTGAATAAAAATGCTCTTTGATATTGAAAAATACTCAAAATATGGCCTAGATCATCTTAATCTTCAAAATCAAGGATAGTTTGGTACTAAAGAATTTGGAAAACTCTCATTGCCACTATGAAATCCAAAAATATTAGAACAAAGCCAAATATTAAATCTTAGAAACCTATGCAATGCCAAATCATTTAATAAGATCAATTTGTGAAGGCACAATCCTCTCTCTAGAGAAAGGATAATGATGTTTGAAAGGGCCATAATGAAACTAATATATCCCAAATAATCACTTCAACTATCATGTCCACCCCAAAAAATCACCATAACGGATCAATCATGGTAGTATCCAAGGTACATGAGAGTGATGATCTAGTCATCCAAACAAAAACAGAATGGTTAAAAAAAATATAAACCTAAGTACTTATATGAATTATAGTAATTTTCAAAAAGCACTAATAGAGTCTCTTCTCATTATGTGAACTGAATTCCAAAGGATTCAGTCTGTGGTTCAAAATTTTACTATTCATATGTTTCTTGCTATAGCTATTGAATTTAATTACAACATTCATCAAATAAATGTATATACAACAATCAGAAGGATAAGAACATTTAGTATATAAGTCTCAATGCTCACTTTATGGACTAAAATTAGTAGCATGTGCTTGGTTTTATAAGATTTATTTATTTTTTTATGGAGAAAAGTTTCAAAACTAAATATTTAAATGTAAATTCAAATACTATTTTAAAGGGACACCATACTTTTTTGTGCTTATTGCTTTTTATATTAATGATATTATTTTTATGATGATAGCTTGAGTTTTTTTTTATCAATTTTAAGTCCCAGTTTAAGCATAACTTTTGATATGGTCAATAGTGGCTCTATACATTATTGCTTAGATATTGAACTCATACATAACCTTGATCGAGGTATTTTCCTTTCATTTTGTTTTCTGAATTTCATTAAGGTTATCATATTTAATCTGACTCTATTGCACTACATTCTTCTATGAAACTTTCCTATATTTTGGAATGATGGATTGTATTGTAGTCAAATTTTACATCTCCATTTTATTCACTTTACTATATTAGGGTTATTTGGCTTAGTTCTTCAATACTTTTAATCATGGCCTATACTCGTTTTGGAACTTGTTCAATGATATTAATAGCTTACATTGATTCAAATTGGGTTAGTGAAATTCATAACTCTTAGCTCCTATGTTTACATAAATTTTTGTGTTCTCTTGGGTTTTTATATGTGAACATTATATAGCAATATTTGCTATAGAAGCAGAATATGTTATAGTTAGTATGGCCACTCAAGAAATCATATAACTTCATAAATTACTTATGACTTCAAACATCCTTTATTACTCCCTAAATCTTTATATTGTGATAATCAATTTATTATTGTTTTGCCAAATATTTAAATTTTCACTCAACTTTTAAATATATTAATACACATACTATTACTATATTCATTTTGAAGTATGAAAGAAGGATGCCATTATGGCATTAGTTACTACACAAGATATAATGGCTAGTCATTTTACAAAGTCTCTTTTGTTATTTTTATTTTTGATTTATATATGGTTTTTTCTGGTATGATATTTTAAATTAGTTTTTAGTTATTAATTATGTGGGTTTGGCTACAATGTTAGCCATCAGATTGGTTTCAATATTTTTTTTTATATCAACTAGGTTTTCAGGCTAATCAAATATACAGATTTTTATATTTCATTTCCATACACTCTATATTATATTTTTAAAGAGAAAATATAAAGAAAATATAAATTTGTGCTCATAAAAGGTGCTTGATAACTCCTTCAAAACAAAAAGCTATCAAGTGTAAATGGGTTTTAAGGTTCTTTTGATAAGTTTAAAGCTCGGTTAGCTGCAAAAGGATATTTGTAAGTTGTTAGTGTTGATTTTCAATATATATTATTTCCAACTAAAGATTAATCTGGACTTACAGATATAGACTAGATACTAACAAAAACCTGTTATTATCAATCACATCGGAAGAAAATAGGGTATAGCCAAAGGAAGTAATATTCAATGGATCATTCATGCATTAGGTAGCAATCAAGAAGGAATAGGAACTTTTCCGAGAATAATCTCACTTGTATTGACTTGTCGGTCCTTGAGAAATCTTCTCGAAAGCTCTTGCAGTGGAACTGAATCTTCTTTTTGGTGGACTGAAAGCGTGTTCTTTCGTAATAAAGTCTTCCAAAGGTGAGCTACTCCTTTTGATTTCTACAGTGTTTCTTCATTGCAAAGCAAGTGGCTATGGCGAGCGGATCCGAGACTACTCTTGCTAAGCTGCGTGATGGACGATCTCTTGCTTACATCGAGTATGGCATTGAAAGAAAACTGGCCACTCACAAAGTGATCGTCATCCATGGACTTGCGAGTTCTCGGCACCATCGTCTCCCTTGCTCAGAGGTTCTTTTCCTAAGTTTCCTATCAATCTCTCAGGGCTTTGTGTTTCTCTGTTTGTCCAGAAAGTTGTCAAGGAGCTCGGAGTTTGTTTGGTCGGATTCGACAGGGCTGGCTATGGAGAGAGTGATCCAAATCCACAGCGTTCGATCAGATCTGATGTCTCGGATATCGAAGAGCTAGCAGATCATCTGCAGCTTGGTGACAAGTTCTACATTGTAGCCACTTCCATCGGCGGCTACTCTGCTTGGGGATGCCTCAAGTACATACCGCACAGGTTCTATCCTCTAGATTTTTCTCCGAGTCTTCTGAGAGTTTTTGTACTTTCCAGAATTGCTGGAGTCTCGATGATCGCTCCAGCAGTGAACTTCTGGTGGCCAGGCTTGCCACAAGATCTGTCAAAGCAAGCACTTAGCTCTCGAGTGCTTTTGGATAGCTTGATCTTGAATGCAGTCCATCATACTCCATGGCTTCTCAACTGGTGGAGCTTTCCATCCGGTCCTATGCATCTCGACGAGGTAGACATCAAAATCCTCACGGAATCTCCAATCATAAAGGTGAGAACTTTTGCTACAAAACATTCCAATCCATATGGCCATTTCGTTTTTCTTCTCAGGAGATAAGTTTGCAACCTACACAGCGATCTCATCGTCAATCTCTCAACAAAGACATGCTCCTCCAATTTGGAAAGTGGGAGTTTGATCCGCTCGAGCTCGAGGAGCCCGGAGATTTTCGCGTCTCGATCTGGCAAGGCGATCGAGACTATCCAGTCCCAGTGGAGCTGCAGCGATTCGTCCACCAAAAGCTTCCATGGATCGACTATCACGAAATCGCGGGCGTCGGCCACTTGTTCGTGCTTGTTCCAGGCTATGGAGACGAGATCATCTCCAATCTCGTGCTCCCTCGCGAAAACTAAACGATTTAAAAATTTAAATTAACTTTCGCGCTCTAGTTTGAGTGTTCTTACTATTTCTCTAGGTCTAGAGTAGAGAGCTCGGCTATGGCGGCAGATCTTCTCGCTTCAGTCGGAGGTATGTGCATTTCAATCCCATCCAGGAATCGCGATCCAGTAGCTTCTCAGGTCCCTGGCCGACAGTGGTGGCGCTAGCCGCTGGAATTATCATACCCTGGATCTACTTGCTGCTCAAGCCGCCGCCGCCCAAGATCTGTGGAACGCGGCGCGGCCCTCCCATCACGGCTCCTCGAATCCGACTTCGCGATGGCCGATACATGGCTTACAAGGAGCAAGGAGTTCCAAAGGATCTGGCCAAGCACAAGGTGATCTTTGTGCATCCATTCTCGGGATCTCGGCACAGCTTGTTGCAAATCTCACAGGTACGCAAGCTACATTTTTGCTAGCGGGGAAGGCTCTTGAAATTCTTCGTGCTTCTTTGCTTTCTGGTGGCCATGAACGAACATACGCAACTATCACAGGAAGTTTTGGAGGGACTAAGTGTGTATATGGTAGCTTTCGACAGGGCTGGCTATGGCGAGAGCGATCCATTCCCAGAGAGAAGCGTCAAGAGTGAAGCTCTGGATATCCAGGAGCTCGCGGACCAGCTCCAGCTCGGGCAGAAGTTCTACGTTGTTGGGCTTTCCATGGGAGGATATCCGTGCTGGGCTTGTCTCAAGCATATACCACACAGGTAAGTAGTTCTATCGCATCGATAGAGATCGATCTAAGTTCTTCCTTGTTTGGTTTTCTAGGCTGGCTGGAGTTGCTATGATGGCTCCAGTGGTGAATTACTGGTGGCCTGGTGCTAGCAAGGAGATCTCTGGCGAGGCCTTCTCCTCGCGGCCCCTGGGTGACAAGATAACTCTCCGGATCGCTCACTACGCGCCATGGTTGATGCATACCTGGTCCAAGCAAACTTTTCTTCCATCGTTCCTGAATGGCATCGGCAAGGAGAAGTTCATGAACAAGATGGACCTGGAGATCACAGCAGCCAGGAAGAACGCTGGAATTCCTGTAAGTTATTGGGATCACTTTGATTGACTTAGAACTTACTCTCGGTTTTTCTAGCATCAAGAGACCGCGATCCAGCAGGGAACATCCGAGTCACTGCACAGAGATCTCGCCGTGGGGTTTGGAAAATGGGATTTCTTCCTCGCAAACGCCGGCGTTCCAGTTCACGTATTCCAAGGCGACGAAGACAATCTAGTTCCAGTGAGTATCCAGAGACACGTCGCGGAGAAACTTCCATGGATCAACTATCACGAGCTCCCTGGCGTTGGACACTTGCTGGATTTCGTTCCAGGATTAAACGACAAGGTTCTTACAACACTTTTAGCTTCGTGATCGTTTATAAGTTTCGTGTAAACAAAGACTATGAGGAACACTAGACTATTCCGTCCAAGGCTTGCGCGGGGTGGAATCATCCTCCACTAAACAAAAGCTTGGATCCACCTTTCTCATTTCTTTGAGGCCAAGCTCGTAGATCTCCCGGGAATTGGTCTTCGATTCAAGGTAGAGTTTCTCCATAGCTTCCACCAGCGTCAACTTTTTCCTCCAGCCGTTACAGTCTTCCATACACTTGAGAATTATCCCCAAGGCACGAACAAGGTTGTTCTTCCTCCTCATCTCATACACTTTCGCAACATCTGTGATCACCTCGTCCTCGTTGTAGATTCGCTCGTAAACTTTGAGCAAATTCCTTTCTTCTCCAATACGGGCGTTTGCCTTTGTATCATCCACCAGGATTGCCCTCTCCATACAAAGGCCCTCCACACGACCCTCGAGAATCTTAGCTTTGGGAGGAATATCCGTCACCACCCCGAGCTTGGACAAGGCATGTCCAAATCTCTCCCTGGCAATCGAATCAAGCCTGGAAACCAGCTCCATGCTTCTCTGTACGTGGCCCAAGCTATAGAAATGGATCCAAACACTGGGCATCTTGTCCAGAGCCACTAGAAACTCGAGAGCTCCATGAGCAAACTGGTAAGAAAGCTCCCCCATTACAAATGGCCCTCTTGGATAGAGTAGTGTTTCGTCGATGTCGACGAACACATCCACCCTCTTGGGTCGCCAAATCTTCCAGAGTATATCCATGTCAACCCGCAAAGCCCTAACCCTAATTTTATAGCGTAGCGAAACCTAAATATAATTAAAGGTAAAATTAAAAGGTAACCCACTCCACCTCATCATCCAGATCATCATGTCTATCTCTCTCTCTCTCTCTCTCTGTGTCTCTGCCTCATGACAAGTGGATGATCGTACCTCCGTTCCTTGATTCTGGCATCTCGCATTTTTTGGAATGATCTTCGCCTCTCGGGATCGCGGGATCCATACCACAGTTGCGTCCAGCTACTGCGGGAGAGCAGCAGCGCCAGAGCTTTGCTCGCCGGGAAGCGTGTGCACGAATTCATCCAGGAAAGAAGATGGAGCCACGATCGATTGCTGGGGAATCTCCTTGTCCAGATGTATGGAGCTTGCGGCTGCGTGGAGGAGGCCAAGGCTGTGTTCGAGGGGATTCACGGGAGGAACGTTTTCTCGTGGAATCTCATGCTTCTGGCATATACCCAGAATGGGTATTTTCTGGGTGTAAGAAAAGCATTCGACCAGATGCCCAGCTGGGACGTTGTCTCTTGGAGCACTTTGGTGACGTTTTTCTGCCAAACAGGTGACATTCATTCAGCAAAGAATGCATTCGATTGCACACCTCAGAAAGAACTTTTGTCGTGGAACACTTTACTTGCAGCAAATGCCCGAAATGGGCAAATACAAGACGTGCAAGAGATCTTTGTTCGAATGCCCGCACACAGCCTAGCTTCGTGGAACTCAATAATCACTCTTGTCTCGGACAGCGCGAACGCTAAATATGCAAGCTATATATTTGCGGCAATGCCCAGTCGAGACGAAATTTCCTGGAATTCTATGCTTTCTGTATATACCCAAGCCGGGCATATAGACTCGGCAAAAGAGCTCTTTGATTTTTTCCCTGCATGGAACTTGAGGGCTTGGAACGCGATGATCACAGCTTACGCTCAGATTCCTGCTTGCTCCCATGATTCGAGATTGATCTTTGAGAGCAGTCCGCAGCGAGACTCCGTGTCGTGGAACGGATTGATCCGAGCTCTTGCATACGATCACGTTGCTCGGCAGGCCGTGTTTGATGCAATGCCACAGCGAGACGTTGTTTCGTGGACCTCCATGGTCCAGGCGAGCTTGGATCAAGGCTTGTTTGATCCTGCTAGAGAGCTCTTTGATGCTATGCCTTCCAAGAATGTTGTGACTTGGACGATGGTAGTCACTGCGTTTGCGGAGGAGCTTCTGGATCGAGCGGAGTGGATCTTCTACCGGATGCCGCAGCACAACTTAGTGACTTGGAATGTGATGCTCGCGGGTTTCGCACAGAACGGGAAAGTTGACAATGCCAAACTCATGTTTGAGAGTCTTCCAGCGAGAGATACTGTTTCGTGGAACACGATGATGAGCTCGTACAATGCCACTGGTGGGTTTCTGGAGGAATCGAGGGACTTGTTTTTCCGGATTCCTCGCAGGGACGTCGTTTCCTGGAACTTGATCCTTGTCGCTCTCGTCCTAAATGATGATCTTCCTGGTTCAAGAACGGTGTTTGATTTGATGCCTCGAAGAGATGTCGTGAGCTGGAAGATCTTGATCCAGGCTTATGCTCAAGAGGGCGATATGGATCGAGCGAGAAGCTTGTTGGAGAGCGGGATTTATGCTCTTGGTTCATCCAGTGGACTGACTTGGTCTATCTTGCTTCGAGGATACAGCTCCAATGGCTTGAGTATTGAAGCATTCGAGCTCTTGAAGAGGATGGACTTGGAAGGTGTCAAGCTCGTTAGCAGTTCTTACACTGCTCTTCTTGACGCTTGCTCGGGCCCTGTGTTCTTGGAACTCGGCAAAAAAACTCACGCTAGAGTTTTGTTCTCGGGACTTGACAAAGATCTCTGCGTGGTGAGCTCGCTCATTGTGATGTACGGGAAGTGTGGAAGCTTGCATGACGCGATGACGACGTACAGCCGGCTTGATCGACCAGACGTGGTTTGCTCCAACTCGATGATCACAGCTTACATCCACAGTAATCGCATGGCAGAAGCTCGGGGCATCGTCGAGAGTATGGTTGATCCGAGCGTGGAGAGCTGGAACATACTCCTCCACGGCTATGGCCAGAACGGAAATCTCGAAGAGGCAAAGCTTTTGTTTGACAAGCTTCCCGAGCGTGATGCTATGTCGTGGAGCTCGATCTTGTGTGCGTACGTAGCAGCCGGTCTTGGAGCCGAGGCTTTGATGATCTTCCGAGAGATGGACTTGGAAGGCTTCAGGCCTGGCACGAAATCCTTGGTCGCTGTTCTAGAGGCCTGTGGCTCTCTCCTGGGTGATCTTGCTCACTGCAAGATCGTCCACTCGAGCATAGCCGAGGCTGGATTGGATCGGCTCAAGGGCGTGGAGACCTCGATCATCAGCATGTACTCGAGGTGTGGAAGCCTACGAGTTGCGAGAGAGATCTTTGACAAGCGCCCTCAAGAGCTTCGAGCTCGCTGGAGCTCGATGATCGCCGGCTACGCTCAAAACGGCCATGCGCGCGAAGCTCTCGATCTATTCAAGCAAATGCTGCTCGACGGAGTGGAGCCAAACTCGATCACGCTCGTCTCGATCATCTCCGCGTGTAGCCACACCGGAGCCCTGGGAGATGGTCTCCGCTGCTTCGGAAGCTTGAGGCAAGACTTCAACATCGTTGCCTCGGATGATATCTACAAGTGCGTGGTGGACGTTCTGGGACGAGCCGGGATGCTGAGCGAGGCCGAGGAGTTCATCTCTGCGATGATGCCATTCGAAGCCGATAGCTGCACTTGGATGAGCTTGCTGGGGAGCTGTAGAAGCCATGGCGATGTCAGGAGAGGCCAAAAGATCGCGGCTATGGAGTTTGAAGCTTGGTCGCCAACTTCTTCCACCTTTGTGCTTCTTTCCAACTTGTGCGTCGCTGGGAAAAGTTTATAGTTTGCTGGAGTTTCCAATTGGAAAGGTAGAACCACTGACATCTATTATGACGGAAATAACGCTCCATGAAGAACGTTCTAAAAATCTCCACCACTTGGTTTGGTGAAGACCACGGGAGAGAGAGCTATTATGTTGTCGATTTAGCTGGATACCAAAAGCAATAGCAAGCCTCACCATTTTATTTGAAAATGAGAAGAGAAAACTTGTTGATCTCAGCTACAAGCTTTTTACTGACTAGCAAAGAGTCATCAACATATAGACATAGAATCATCTCCCACTTTCTCATAAACTTTATTCAAGCTTGTTTTAATCCATTCTTCCAGGCTCCTTGCCTAAAACTTGATAGCCCTTAGACTCTATCTAGAGTTTTTCCTCAAGATCTACAGCTGTTTTATATATTGCTCCACTTGGTTGAATAAATTCATATTTCACCTCGTCCTCATTGTCATAAACTTTGAAAAGATTCCTCTCTTCTCCCACAAAATTTCATCCACTAGGGTTACGAGTCACCAATGTAAGAAAGTTCAAAAGATGTGTTAACCTAATCCTAGCAAAGCCAAACCTATATTAAAAGGTGACGATATTTGTGTGAAGCTTCAAACAATGACACGCGGTAAATTCTCATTCACTCTTTTAATTTTATCTTTGACCCCGTCCTTTTTCTTTTGAGAGGCAGGCTTTCGCGAGCTCAGTCACGGATCCCTTGGCGACGATTCAGCTGGGCCGAAAAGCTTCTCTAGTCCCGGGCAAGCACAGCGCGATAGGTGTGCTCGATCAATCGCTCGCTCCATCGCTCAATCGCGCGCTCTCCGTGCGATTGATTGATGGGTTCTTCTTGCGATGGCGGAGGCGGAGGAGGAGGAGAAGTGAGCTGCTGTAGATCGCCCAAATCGCCCGGCTTGTTCCTCGTGACAGGGATCAAATCCAAGCAGATGCTCGTCTCGCTGCTCGCGATCGTTTGTGGCCTCCTGCTGCTGCTCAAGAACCCATCCTTGCTCGAATCCGAGCGCTGGCGACCGGGTAAGCGCGTAGCTTTTTACCATGCTTCACATTGCCATCCCTGGATCGATCGAGAGCCTTTTTGCTCTCGATCTTCCTTCCAGCGATGGTCCAACTCACCGATCTTGTGGGCTTGTTTGTTTTGCTGGAGCAGTCATTTTCCAACAGGACCATCACCTGGACCTCGGCAGTGGTACGTACGTTCATGTTCTTCGTTGTCTTCTCTTTAAAACCCTTTTTCTTCTTGTCCTTCTTCCTCTCCCTCTTTGTATTTTAATGGCGCAGCTTTAAAGAATGACCGAGCCGTTCCCATCGCGGCTTCACACAGCTCACACTCCACGAACTTTGGAATCTCCCCATCTATCGACGATGACACCACCAACACAAGTAAGCTCTCAAAGTTATAGAAACTATAAGCGATAACTTTGATCTCGCAGATGGCAGTGGTGAT